AAACATTTTGCCTCTACATTGGCTCCATACTTGATAACTTTATTTAATGATGTTTTGCGGGGGTAAGTTCCCTGAGGAGATGTTGTTGGCTAACATGTCTCTAATACCCAAGCCACAGAAAGACCACTGTTTGCCACAAAACTATAGGCCAATCTCGGTCATGAATAACGATCTAAAAATATTTAGCAGTATTTTGGCAGACCGGTTGGCCCCTATCATCTCCTCTTTGGTTTCTCCAGACCAGTCGGGTTTTATTCCCGACAGATTTATTACTGATAACATTCGTCTCACTCTAAATGTTATTCAAGATGCCAATTTACATTCCAAAGAGGTTCTGTTGATGAGTTTGGATATAAACAAGGCCTTTGACAGTGTTCTTTGGCCCTACTTGTTCTTCTTGCTACAGAAAATGGGCTTCAGTGATGGGTTTTTGGCAGGCATACCCTATACGACTCTCCTAAAACAAGAATTAGGCTTCCCGGCTGTAACTCTGACTTCTTTACATTGGGTAGAGGTACCCGCCAGGGCTGTCCTCTTTCACCCCTTTTATTTGCGCTGGTGTTGGAATCTTTGGCATTGGCGATTAAATCACATTCGGATATTTCTGGCTATTCATTATTAGTTGCACATTTTAAGCTGAGCATGTATGCTGATGATGTTATGCTTTTTATTACTAACCCGTTGACTTCTTTACCTAACTTGTGTGCTGTACTGAACGATTTTGCCAAAGTGTCAGGTCTCACCGTTAATTTTACCAAATCTGTGATTATGCCAGTTAATGTTCCTGACTCCCTAAGTGCATCTCTCCGTAGTTCTTTCCCATTTCGCTGGGTCAAGGACAGGATATCCTATCTGGGGATAAACCTCACTCCCAGATACTCGGATATATTTGCAGCTAATTATCCACCATGTGTATCACGTCTCTCTACTCTACTGAAGATCTGGCACGGTTATCATATCTCCTTTCTGGGTAGAGTCACGGCGGTTAAAATGAATATTTTGCCCAAACTGCTTTATCTTTTTAGAGCACTTCCAGTTCCGGTCTCAAAAACGTTTTTGGATCACTTTCAGCGGACTATTAACAATTTTATTTGGGGAAATAAGCATCCATGTTTTGACTCATCCATTTTGTATCGCTCACAACGGACGGGAGGTCTTCCTAACTTTTGGCTATATTACCTCTCGGCTCGTTTTGCGCAATTATCACAATGGGCTACTATTAACTCTCAAATCCCATGGATCAAGTTTGAGTCTCAGTCGATACGTCCTTTTTATTTACCGGGAATTTTATGGTCTAACATCTCCCCCCGATCGCTTATTTTTCATAACTCCATAGTGACTCACTCGCTGACACTTTGGTCCAAACACAAATCTAAATTGAGTTTAGTCTCTCCTATTCCCCCAGGTGTGTCATTTTTTGGTGATCCTACTTTTGTTGTAGCCTTTTCTTCCCCTCACATGTTTCGTTGGTGGTATGATCGATCTTTTATCAGACTATCGGATTTCCAAAGAGGAGGATCTTACATTACCTTTGATATGCTGCGCGTGTTATTTGATGTTCCTCTTCGTGAGTACCTTCGTTTTAGACAGATTAGGCACTTTTTTAATGCGCACTTTGGCCTTACCCCATCCTCTCCGATTTCCTTTTTTGAACGTATCAGCCGTGACTCTCCCAGGGGTAGGGGTCTTATCTCAGATCTTTATCACCAATTTTTGATCTGTCTTTTTCATGCTCCCCCTTTGTACAGACGAAAATGGGAGGAGGATTGTGGTATCACTTTTTCAGATGAGGATTGGGATTCCATGGTGGATAATATATGCAAGAGCTCTAGATCTCTTTCGGTTCGTGAGACGGCCCTTAAAGTTCTAACCAGATGGTATTATACCCCGTCAAGACTACATGTATGTTTCCACAAACGTCCCTTTTATGTTTTCGGGGCTGTGGCTGCACAGGTACTTTGGTTCATATATTTTGGGATTGCCCGAACATATCTTTGATCTGGCGTAGGATTTCTGAGGTGGCTGCCTCACTGTCGGGTACCCCAATACGATTGTCCATGCAGACCTGTTTATTGGGGGCCCATATCCCAGGGGTCTCTGATGCCAATCTGAGATTGATACATACATTATGTATTGCCACTTTATGGTCTATTGCCCTACATTGGAGGTCCAATGTTGTACCCTTGGACTCCGTTTTACACAGAATTGATGCTGTAATGCTTATGGAACGCATTCATTATACCCTACTGGATAAGATGCACTTATACGATAAAAAATGGGAGTCATGGAGAGATTGTAGACACTTATTGCATGCTTAATAACATCCCCAGTAAAAGTTGGCTGACATATACTGTTGACAGATGTATCACTTAACCTACTTTGTCGTTTACGTATTTCATGCACTCGTAACTTCCTCTTTTCTTTTATCTTCTTTGTTATGTTAATATACTTTTATGTATTGTACTTTTCAAAAGTGCCTTGTTTTTGCTGACAATATCACTTTTAAAATGTGCTGTTGTTTTACTGTCTACTCATGTACAATAAAATCGTTTGTAAACAAAAAAGAAAACTGATGTTTCTGCAAGTGAAATCTGCGTGTCAGTTTCCATCAGCTTTTCTGCATGTATGGTATGAATGAGGCCTAAAGCAGATCTAAAATAATTGCTACATTATCACGTTTGTTCAGGACACTTCAGAATTCTTTTTAAATTTGCAGCTTTCTTTAAAATACTTGGTGATCCTGCCCTGAAGGTCCTGTTCAGGCACTTCCTGTTATAGGATGACAACACTCTGTTCCTGTCTCGCAATGGTGCAGGTGTTGTCTCAAGAAGAGCTTCAAATGGAGACTACCAGTGGCCATTTCAATGCACATTATGCAAACATGGTCCATTGTTGTCAGCATCAGGAAACCCACCGCGCAGCCACCATTGGAGTACCTGCACATAGATAGAAACATGCTACCAACAGGCTGCAGCTTTACACTTAGGCCCCTTTCATGCATTCTGTCTGTCTGTCTGTCTGTCGATGGATGAAAAACGGATAATGATGCATTCCTATGAACAAACAGATGTAAATGGATGTCGGCCATTGATATTGTTTTTTTCCCCCATTCAGGTACATTTTTTTTTTTTTAACTGAACAAGTTTGCATATTTGTTCCATCTAACAAAATGGAAGTAAACGGATGAAAACCTGATATAAATGGAATCCGTTTTCTCTGAGCAAAAAATGTGACTTGAGAGGATGACGCCCATGTGACTCTAAAGGCCCCTTTCACATAGGTGTGCTGTCAGTCCCTTTATAACCCATGAGTAGACACATGGAAAAACTGCCTGCAATATACTGTATCCCTATTGACCAGCAGATTTAAGAAATCGTGTGTCTGTTTATATACGGGTCCTTTCTACTTCCTGGACTGATCACTACAACTTCACCTCCAGGTCTGCTTTTGGAGATGTGACCAGATATAGCAGGCACACACTAGAAGGATTACATGGGTCTATTTTTCTCTATCACGAGATGGAGGAAAAAAGGGAACCTACACAGATGTCATATTTGTATGTCTCCGTTCTGATCCAATCAGTCTACAGGTCCCATGCCAAGACCTGCAGGGTGCCTGTTTGAAAAAGGAGCTACGGCTGCCCATACATTATACAATCCGTTTGTACAATCTCTTTAAAGTATTACTAAACCCAGGACCCTGCATTCACTATATCTGGTCTCCCACAGTACACACAACATGGAAGTGCAATTATTTTAGTAAATATAAACTGCTAAATACCTTTTCTCATCAGCAGTTAGAGCAGTCTTGTGACTTCTATCAGTGTCCAGCAGAGCACTGGTTAAAGCTTGTAGAAGGAGTTTTCATTTTGCTCTATGAGGATGCAGAACCCCTAACCTCTGTCTGGACAGGGCTGATTGGCCCTGTGCTGATCACATGCACTCTCCCAAGAAAAAAAAAACCTCTCTAGCAAGACACACTAAATTAAACATGTGCAGAGTGCCCCCTAGGCTCTGTACTATCAGGAGATAAAATTGGGAATGTGGAAGAAGGGGAGGATCAGAGAAGATAGGATCAAACAGCGTTTTTACACTATGTATAGGATTAACCCCGTAGGTTCCACAGTGAGAACAACAAGTATGCTTTACTGCATATACAGACTTATTTTACTGTTGTGGGTTTAGGGACACCAAGATTTACCACCAACTATGTATTCCAAGGGCCTGCCTGATTTGATAATAAATGAATGGTATGTTTAGGTTTGTCCTCATATTACACAGTTTTGGTAAATCTAAAAGGATGTTGTATGATCAGATTGTATAGTGTATGGTCAGGCTAAGGATCATCATACACATTAGAATCTAACTGTACAATCAACCTTAGACCTACAGATCTATGTAATATAAACGCGTAGCTAACTTATACAAATCAATGTCTAACCAGTCAGGCAGACCCCTCCACTTTATATCTGTTGGTTGATCTAAAGCTGGCCGCATACTACACCATCTGATTGTACAAACTCCCTTTGATTTACCAAAATCATATGAGGAAAACCTAACAATACTTTCAATCTGTATCTAATCAGGCAGGCCCTCATACTACATAGTTATTTGTAGATGTAACGGAGATTGTATGATCAGACTGTATAGTGTATGGTCAGTCTAAAGCCAGCCATAGATGATGAGATTTTCTTTCCCACAAGCACATAGTCAGTGTTGATGGGGGAATCCCTCCCGCTGAGCTATTGTGTGCTCCCGGCAGGGGGGGGGGGGTGTGGTTTAGTCCCTGCCGGGAGAGCACAATGCTTATTTCTAGCAATAATTGTATGTAAAAATCCAACTGGATGCTTGTACCCAAGTCATACAACAATCGAATTGGGTACAATCAGCCTGCCCATAAATGGTTCGAATCCCAGCCAGTCCCTGCTGAACCGGCTGAGAATCAACCCATCTAAGGCCAGCTTTAGACTCATTAGAATCTAACTGTACAATCAACCTTACCCAGGTGCGGACTGACCATTTGGGAACTCAGGCACTGCCAGAGGGCCTGGGGTCAGTAGGGGGCCCCGTGAGATGTCCCTGGTACCTTTCATAAGCTTTTTTGGGTGTGGTTTGAGTGTGGGTGAGGACACAGGGGCCACATGATCCCCTATTGCCCCGGGGCCCCATGAGTTGTCAGTCCGCCCCTGACCTTACCTACAATAACCTAAAGTTTCTATGTACTATGAACACCTATCTAATCTATCCAATCAATGTGTAACCAATCAGGCAGACCTAAAGCTGGCCACATACTATACCATCTGATTGTACAAACTCCCTTAGATGTACCGAAACCACATAAGGACAAACCTAACAATACTTTCAATCTGTATCCAATCAGGCAGGTCTTCGTACTACATAGTTATTGGTGAAGCTAAAGGAGATTGTATGATCCAATTGTATAGAGTATGGTCAGCCTAAAGCTAATACAAACTACAAATGGATTGCACAATCACCTTTAGATCTACCAACAAGTATGCAGTGCCGGGGTCTCCTTAGGTGGATACACACTGATTGGATAGATTAGGTAGATGTTCATATTAAATAGTCATGGTAGATCGAAGGTTGATTGTATATTCAGATTGCAGCATGGATTCAGGGAAGGGTAAGATCTTATATTACATAGTCTTGGTAAATCTAGTCATACATATTACAATCTGATTGTACAATCTCCTGTTGATCTACCAACAAACATGTAGTGCAAGGTTCTGCTTGATTGGATAGAATTAGGTAGGTGCTCATATTACATAGTTTTGGTAAATCTAAAGCTGATTGTACAAGGATTGAATGGCCAGATTGCAACATGGATTCAGGTAAAACCTCATTTTTACATAGTTTTGGTAAATCTAAAGCTCATCATACACTTTACAATCTAATCAAACAATCTCCTTTACCCTAGGTTCACACCTAAGAACCGCTGTACAGTGCATTTAACATGATTTCCTATGGCACATGTTCACATCTCCACGTTTTTACCCGCTGCGTTTTTTGGAAAGGGAAGGGGCGTTTTTGAAAGCAAAACGTTGCATTTTTGGTTCTATAGACTTCAATGGAAACGCTGCAGAAAAGCATGTAATGTGTTTTTGCAGCGTTTTAAATCTGCCTAAGAACAAGAAAAATAATTTAAAAAACCAAAACACATCAAAAAACACACTACATGCTTTTCTGCAGTGTTTCCATTGCAGTCTATAGAACCAAAAACCCAATGCAGAAACGTCTCAAATGGAAACTGCATAGGTGTGAACCTAGCCTAAGGCTGCTTTCACATGGAGGAGTTTTTCAAATGTTTCTGCATTACAAAAACGCCTGAAAAGCTCAAGAAAACTGCTTCCCTATGTATGTGAATGTATATCTACGTATGTTTTCACACTGAGGCCTTGCGCTTGCAGCGTGGTGTAAAAACTCCTGCTTAAAGCATCTTTGGGGAGTTAAAAAAAAAGCTTCTTCCCACTGAATTCAATGGAAAACGCCTGAAAAACAACTTAAAAACACCTCTGAGAAGCGTTTTTGGTGAAGTTTTTAAATCACGTGCCCTTCAAAAAATGCCCAGAAAGCGCTGCAAAAGCGTGTTAAAAATGCCTATGTGCTTCTGCAACGGATCAGTGTGAAAGTAGCCTTAGACCTACCAACAAGTATGCAGTGCAAGGGTCTCATTGATTGGATACAGGGATTGGATAGATCGAAGGTTGATTGTACAAGATTGTATGTTCAGATTGCAACATGGATTCAGGGAAGGGTAAGACCTCATATTACATATTTTTTTCTTTAATCTAGAGCTCCTTATACACATCACAATCTGATTATACAATCGCCTTTAGATCTACCAACAAGTATGTAGTGCTAGGTTCTGCTTGATTGGATAGAATTAGGTAGGTGATCATATTAGTTTTGGTAAATCTACAGCTGATTGTACAAGGATTGTACGTTTGTGCAGCATGGATTCCGGTAAGACCTCTACAGCTGATTGTAAATCAAGCCGATTGTACAAGGATTGTCAGTGTCAATGTGCAGGATTTCCGGTAAGACCTCATTTTACATAGTTTTGGTAATCTAAGCTGATTGTACAAGGACCCATATTACATAGTAAATCTAAAGCTTGCCATACACATTGCAATAATCATACAATCTCCTTTAGACCTACCAACAAGTATGTAGTGCCAGGGCCTACCTAACTGGATGAGATGGGTAGATGGTCATATGACCAAGTTTTGGTAGATTGTACAAAGATTGTAACATGTATGGTGATCCGAGGCTGAAGATGATTGTACAGAGGCAGAAGTAACGGTCAGCTGTGCATATACTGTACCTGCAGTATCCCAGATGGAGATGTTGTAGGGTCCCCACTGTTTCAGGTAGAAGGCTCCCCCCACAGTGCTGACAGTGTCCTGGAACCTCCTCTCCATGTACCTGTGTAGCAGGGAGGTCTTCCCCACATTCATGTCCCCCAAGAGGACCAGCTTCAGGTCTGGCTTCTTCATCATCGTAGCACCAGTCCAATCAGATATGCCCAGAGCAGCTGCAGAGTGCCAATGAGACCAAGCTGAGCCTGCCTGGCAGAGCCTGCTCCATACACCCCAGTGCTCAGATCCCCGCTCGCTGCGCTCCCACACAAAGCATTGCTGTAGTCCCTGGCTCTGGCTCAGGTGTTATGCTGCCAGCGAACACTTCAATAAAACTTTGCTAACTTGGCAAAACACGGAAGGAGTGCAGGAAGTGAGGGCACTCCTCCAGGCCCCGCCCCAGCCTGAGCCTCCTCAATGGTGGGTACCGCCCTGACTCCTCCCCGGCCGTTCCTCTTCTTGCCTTGGCTCCTCCCCGGCCTTGTTTCTCCATGCCTTGGCTCCTCCCCAGCCTTTCCCCTCCTTGCCTTAGCTCCTCCTCAGCCTTTCCTCTCTTTGCCTTTGGCTCCTTCGCGGCCTTTCCCCTCCTTGCCTTAGCTCCTCCCCGGTCTGGCTCCTCCCAGGACTGCTCCATGACGGGCCATAACTGGTCGTGAGCCCCTATAATGTGTGTGTATACACAGAGCGGCGTCCTGTAGTACGCATGCGTGTTCGGTATGCGAGAGCGATGACATAAGAGCAGGAAGTGACAGTGCATTCTCGTCTTTCAGGTGACTCAGACAGCCGTGTGATGTGAGGAGGGCGGGAAGGAGGGGGCGGTACCCGGAACACAGTTCTCTCTCTCGGCCGATACTGACGGAGGGTCGAGGCAGCCAGCAGTAGCCGCAGCCGCTCCAGCAGTAGCCGCCATGGCCACGTTTATCTCGGTGCCGCTGAAGAAGACGTCCGAAGTGGACTTGGTGAAGCCGCTATCCAAGTTCATCCAGAACACGTACCCGACCGGAGAGGAGCAGGCCGAGTACTGCCGGGCGGTGGACGAGCTGAACAAGCTGCGGAAGAGTGCGGTGGGTCGGCCTCTAGACAAACACGAGAGCTCGCTGGAGACCGTCATGCGTTACTACGACCAGCTGAGCTCCATCGAGCCCAAGTTCCCGTTCTCCGAGGGCCAGCTGTGCCTCACCTTCACCTGGAAGGACGCCTTCGATAAGGGCTCCCTGTTCGGCGGCTCTGTCAAGCTGGGCCTGGCCAGCCTGGGCTATGAGAAGACCTGTGTGCTCTTCAACATCGGAGCCTTGGCCAGCCAGATCGCCTCTGAGCAGAACCTGGACAACGATGAGGCCCTGAAGGCCGCCTCCAGGTACTACCAGCTGGCCAGTGGAGCCTTCTCCCATATCAAAGACACTGTGCTGTCCGCCTTAAGCCGGGAGCCCACCGTGGACATCTCCCCGGACACCATGGGCACCCTGAGCATCATCATGCTGGCCCAAGCCCAGGAGGTCTTCTTCCTGAAGGCAACCCGAGACAAGATGAAGGACGCCGTCATCGCCAAGCTGGCCAACCAGGCGGCTGACTTCTATGGCGATGCCTACAAGCAGTGCCAGTACAAAGATACTTTACCCAAAGAGGTGTACCCACTACTGGCTGCCAAGCATGGCATCATGCAGGCCCACGCCGAGTACCACCAGTCTGTCATGGCCAAACAGCAGAAGAAGTTCGGGGAGGAGATTGGCAGGCTGCAGCACGCCTCAGACTTGGTCAAAACTGTTTTTTCCAGGTACGACGAATACATCAACGTCAAAGATCTGTCAGACAAAATACAGCGTGCTCTCACTGCTGCAAAAAAAGACAATGACTTCATTTACCATGACAGAGTGCCCGATTTAAAAGATCTGGAACCTGTGGGCAAAGCGGCTCTGGTCAAGCCAACGCCTGTCACAGTCCCTCTGAGTCAGAAATACAGCGATCTTTTTGAAAAAATGGTACCGCTAGCTGTACAGCAGTCTATGAGTATTTATAACCAAAGGAAAGCTGATCTCATCAACACAACCATTGCCAGAATGAGAGATGCCACAACCTTGTGTAATGGTGTTCTGGCCTCTCTGAATCTTCCGGCAGCCATTGAGGATGTGTCTGGTGACAGCGTACCCCAGTCAATCTTGCAAAAGTCTAAGGCGGTTATTGAGCAGGGTGGTATTCAGACAATTGACCAGCTGATCAGAGACTTACCAGAGCTTCTCCAGAGAAATAAAGAAATTCTGGATGAGTCGCTGAAATTTTTGGATGAAGAGAAGAAGCGACTGATAATGACTTAAAATCCAAGTTCAAGGAAAGATGGCAAAGAACACCTTCTACTGAGCTTTATAAACCCTTGAGAACCGAGGGCAGCAATCTCCGTAACGTTTTGGATAAAGCCATTACCGCTGATGCTGTTGTGAAAGAACGCTACCAGTCTCAGAGAGAAGCCATAGCAATATTGTGTAAGCCTGAAGCAGAGCTCAATGCTGCCATTCCATCTGCAAACCCTGCAAAAACTATGCAGGGCAGTGAGGTCGTGAACACCTTGAAATCCTTGTTGGCCCAGCTGGATGAGATAAAGAAGGAAAGAGAGCAGCTTGAAAATGACATTAAATCTGTCAACTTTGATATGACCACCAAATTTCTCACCGCTCTAGCACAAGATGCTGCCATTAACGAAGAGGCTTTATCTGTGACAGAGCTTGATCGAATCTATGGAGGCTACACTGATCGAGTACAGAGAAACCTGACTAAACAAGAGGAAATAATCAGCAATATCCAAGTTTCTCACCAGGAGTTTTCCAAAATGAAACAATCAAACAGCGAAGCTAATCTGAGAGAAGAGGTCCTGAAGAAATTGGCTGCAGGGCATGACAGCTATGTAGAACTTGTTGCTAATCTGAGAGAAGGAACAAAGTTCTATAATGACCTCACAGAAATTCTGCTGAAGTTCCAAGGCAAGTGCAGTGATATTGTTTTTGCCCGAAAGACTGAAAGAGATGAGTTACTCAAAGATTTGCAGCAAAGTATTGCCAGAGAGCCAAGTGCACCATCAATGCCAGCAGTACCAAGTTATCAAAATACTGCATCCTCAACACCTGCTGCTGCTACTGGCATATCAAGCACTCCAACTCCAGCACCAAGGACTGTCTATTCTGCTAAACAACCTCCACCTCGCCCTCCTCCACCTTCAGTTCCTGCTAGTGCCCCTGCTGCTCCTGTTAGTGCAGCACAGAATGTTGTTCCTCCATTAGCAAATGCTTCAGCTCCAGTGCCCTCACAGCCTCTCTCCAGCACCATTCCATCACAGGCACAGGGTCCCCCATTTGCAACCTATCCCGGATATGCAGGGTATTATGGAATGCCCATGCCTGTTGGCTATAATCCATACATGTATGGCCAAACCATGCCTCCTTACCTATACCAACCACAGGCAGGCCAGGCACCTTATCCAACACAACAGGCTGGCTTTCCAATGCCACAGCCACCTTATTACCAGCCTCCTCAGTAGGAAGTGTGTAGACCTAAATGCTTGTAAACTGAAAAAGTAACTTTCAGTTGCAGTAAGTGCACTGTCTGATATATACAACTCCCTAATTTCTGGGTTTTATGACCTGTTTGAGTTAATCTTCTGATTGCACTAAGCTGTTTCTGCCTGCCCATTTGCAAACACGTGATCAGAATGAAAAACAAACTAAGTTTTGCCTGGCAAAATGACCTCCTTGAGCTAATAGGGGGTGTCTTTGATAATGAGCAAATATCCCCAGTAACACTATGCTCTTTCATATGTAAAATGGGGTTGGGAATTATCTATTTTTTCCATTCTCTGTTTTTACTTTTCATTTCTTTATGGTTTAGTTATTGTATGCTATTTTGTCTATTAATCAAAAGCCTTGTAAATCATTATAATGAAAAATAAATCTAAAAAGCACAGCAATGTTTGCAGATGCTGGTTTAAGGCTGATTGTTCTGTCTTGGTTTATAAAACTATTACTTGATTTCTAGAGGTTTCCCATTTTTATTTTTGAGTTATCGTATAGAAATCTTCATTACTTACTCTTACAAGGTGATTGAGTTGCTAACGAAAATAGTGTAGCACAGCGGTTGCTGTATTTTTCTCTAAAAACAGGTAAGTTGCAGGTTAATTCTGCACCTGCTCTAAGTGACAAAATAGGAATCTGATGCCTGTGAATAAATGTTTGCTTCAGTGTTTAATGGGATAGGCATACATTCTTGATCCTGAGCTCCAGACATATTGAAATAGAAAAGGAAATTGACTTACAAAGGGGGCAAATTCATGCTAGCCAGACACTCTCCTTGGGGCTGAACAGGAGAAATCATGATTCCTCCACCTGTTCTAAACAGTGTGTGCAGTCAAGATGGTTTTTGTTAGTTTTGGATATATTGGTGGAGCGTTAGGGTCCCTGTGAGGTTTTTATTGTTATCTAGGGAACTTGGATCAGTGCATGGCAGTCCCTGCTTGACAGAAGTCAATTGTTTGATCGACTTCTGTAAAGGCACATGCTGGAAAACATTGTTGATCAGTGGATACAGCTGCTGGTTGGTGTATTGTGACATCGTCGAGTCTTTTTTTTTTTTTTTTTTTTTTTTTCTAATACAATTTCCTGTTTTTTGTGTTGGGGTTTTTTTTTTTTTTTTTTGTGGATGGCTAACATCTGGGTGCAGTATTTGTTGAGCCCACACATTTTTCACCTAGCTCTTTCAATATTTATTTTTCACAAAGTTTGTTGATCCCGGAAGAGCACCAGGTCTGCCCATGCTTGAATTTTCAAGTCTGGTATGGCCATACTTTGTTCCGGCATGATGACAGAGCAACATGCAGAAATAGAAATGCTTTTACTTTAGAGTTGGGAAAAACTAGTAACCATATCCGATTTTTATTTCATAGCAGATTATCCTTAATTTTCTGTCTGAAATTGTTAAAGATTTACTCTTTTTTACCCTGTTAACAGAGCCCTGCAACAGTATGGGATATTCTAACCCCCACACTAGCCAAACTAGGCAAAGAGCTTTGGCTTGAAATATGCTAATGCTCTTTAACCTCTTCCCATCTGGCGCATGCCAATTAACAGCCAGACGGGAGTGCTGCTGATGTGGGGGGGGGGGGGGGGGTTTCTAAACGTTCCACTGCCTGGGAGTGCGCAGCGCTGCTGTGTCCAGTGGAACACAGATCGCTGAAAGAGGTCCCGATTCATGTGTCCACTGACCAATCGGTGATAACATGAACAGTAGTAAACAAGATGTCACTTCCTGACATTGTTTACTACTTGTGAAATCTGATCACAGAGGTCACACGGCACAAGGCTATTCACAACAGACTTGTACCATGTGACAAGCTGTGACCAATCGCCACTCGCACAGTATTTTTCAATGGCTGCAAGAATGCACCCAGAGAGAGAGAAGTTTATTGCTTTTACAGCCTTTATGGGTGTAAAAGCAATCGGTGTTTAAAAAAAAAAAGAAAAATCTTCACCTGCCACAAGTAGTACAGGGTTGCTATGGTGACACTGTACTGCTAGGGTGACAGTACGTAAAAAAAAAAAACTATAAAAATTTAAAAAATTTTGAAAGATTTTTTTCTTTACCAAGAAATAGTGGATACATTTTGGCCAAGATTTATGAAGAAATAGAAGAAATATTTATTTTCAAAATTTTATAAAACTTTTTTTTTTATTAAATCTGGGTCCCCTTGAAGCATTATGCCACAATGTGTTACTATGCAGCGCGTATGAGCACGTGTTGGCTGACTTGCTGTCAAAGGAAGACCTCCAGGTCTGTGCTGTCAATGCTCAGGTACTTCCATTTTCATGCATTGGAGTCGCACTGCCATAGCACAGAGCAGGTGCTGTATTGTACTCCTGAGCTGCACACACATGGCTCAATGTACATTGCCATAAAAATCTATATATTCCTGAGCTAACTTTTAAAACCCACATTCAGTGATTTAACTCTGTACAAAATTGCAATACACCAATTGTGTATCACTACCATAATTAAACAATATACCAGAAATGCGCAGCACTTTGTAATAAAAAACTCACAATATACAAATTTCAAAGAAAATTCATAAATGGGTTACTAGTGCCTCACACCCTCCTATACGTGCAGGCACTAATAACCTTATAGTTTTTTTTTTTTTTTTTTTTTTTTCCCCTTTTTAATGTATTAACCAATTGCCCAGAGGATTCCCCCCTTCCTTCCTGACAAGTCCATTTTTTGCGATACGGCGCTGCGTTATTTTAACTGACTATTGTGCGGTCATGCAACGCTGCACCCAAATTAATTTTAATTTTTTTGGGGGGTTTTTTTTTTTTTTTTGCGCTATAAAGAGACCAACAAATTTTGAGGAAAAAACTATTTTTGACTTTGCTAATAAACATGTCCAGTAAAAAATAAAATTGTCAAATTTAGGCCAAAATGTATTCTGCTACACGTCTTTGCTAAAAAAATAAATCCCAATATGTGTAAATTAATAGGTTTATGTGAAAGTTATGGCGGTGTAGATACTGGAATTTTATTTAATTTTTTTACTAGTTATGGCAGCTATCAGTGACTTATAGCAGGACTGTGGTGGGCATTCTGACACTGGGTGGAACTTATTTTTTTTTTTTTTTTTTTTTGTCACACTGACACCTCCAGTGACATCCAGTACAGTGATCAGTGCTAATAAAAAGCACTGACACTGTACTAATGGTAATGGGCAGGAAGGGGGTTAAAGTGGGGTGATCAAAGGGTTAACTGTGCTGTTTTACTACGTGGGTTGTCTGTGTTCCACTGTAAGCACACTGCTTGGTATAGCAGAGCCATACCAAGCCGTGTGCAGGAGCTGACTGGAGAGATCTGTGTTTTTATACACAGGTCTCTCCCTTGTTGGAGATACTCAGCGATCACGGGGTGCCGGTGAGTAATCACTGGCCGAGACCTGGTGATTGACAGCTGAGGCCGTTACCTGGAAATGCAAAATCCTGTATATATCTGTGATTTTGCGCACCCCTGCTGCCCTGTATCAGCATTTCTGCTGTAGGGAAGCTGATGAGAGGAAGCAGTTCATTTATATAGTGCAAGTTTAATTACAAAGTGCTGCACATTTCTGGTATATATTGTCAATGTACATTAATGCTGACAGGAGTAAGATTTAATGGCAGCGGAGACAACCAGGGCCTCTTTAAAAAAAAAAAAAAAAAAAAAATATGCTGACAAGCCAGGTTTTTAAGTTTAATACCACTTTAAAATAATAGTGTTAGTTTGCCCTTGCTATAGTAATCTGTATGTTTACACATACTGCACCATCTTTTAGATAAGTTTTAGTGTGAAGGTGATTAATTAATAGGTCAGACTTGTATGAGTATATAAGTTTCTGGGAGCTTATCGGAGGAATATGGTAAAATGCGAGATAAAATTCTGATTCTGGATGAAAAGATTTCCTATACACACACACACAGCTGACATGCTAAAGCCTGCAGTTTACTGATCTAAAATGGTTGGTGGTCAGTTCATGTTGTTGAACAATTTAGTTAACTAAAACCTTGTTTCTTTTATAGGAGCATTTTGAACCTATGTCTGCAGTATTTAATGTAACTAACCGTCGGATTAAAGTAATGGGAAAGATTTTGCAACATCTTGCTTGTTAAATGATGCTTCACATTTCCTCTGATCTTCTGTGTATACATTTTTCCAATAAATTGTCTTATAAATTTTTTCAAACTTTTTTTTTTTTTTTTTTTTTCTTTTTCTATGTGGTTATGTGACTGCATAGCCCCAGTGTTTTAGGCCCATACTCTCTGAGGCTGTTGGACAGAACTCTTCTCCTGGCCCAACAATACCTTGACAATGCTGCAAGCTATAGATTCCAGTGAGATGTCAGTTTCTTTTGTTGGCGGTCAGGGCATAGATCAGCCTGACGGTTTTGATCATGTGATCACATAGAAAAAATGTAAACAATCTGGAAGTGATATACTGGCAAAATGTTAAAGGAAAGGAAAAGCATTATTTAAAAGGTAGGTTATTGTGATGCGTCTTCTACTTTTAAAGGGCATGTTTGGATGGGTAAATAGTGTGCTTTTGACATCACATTAACTGATCAGAAATGTGTCCGAGACCTGCAGTGCAATGAGCACTGACTGGGTTCTTGTCAGGAAAGGGGAGTGTTGGGTTTATCCCTTTTGCTGCCAGAGCTGTTTTTGCATTTTTGGCACACATTTAAAAAATCATTTAAGGTCTAAAAATTACACAAATCCAACAAACATTATATATTTTCTAAAATCTGAGACCCGAGAGAATAAAATGGTGGTTCCAAATTTTTTAGGTCACACAATATTGTCACAAAGGTCTAGGAAACACAAAAAATACACTTTAATTTTGGGGCACAAAAAGCAATAAAGTATCCAATTTTGTTGTAAAATACAAAAGTTGAGGTTGCTTCAGTATCTGGCCTAAAGCAATCGCTTGCTATGGGGCAGATCTGGGGGCTGGTTGTGTCTGTGTCTATAGATACAATGCAATGTGGTGACACATTCCACTTTGTACATTTGCACGGTGTACACCTTACTATTATAGTATATACCCTGCCAATGTCTGTGGTCCCTGCTTCATTTCACCAGACTGCATGAATTGCCATTGGATTTCCTGGTGCACAAATGGGTAAACCTTTGCTGATCAGGAGGAAAAGCAGAATTGTATTTAAATTGCCCAGGTTCAGTTTCATATTTTGCCTACCTTCTCAAATTGACTGGACAAATGTTGTGAATTGCCTAGCATAGTTTGCTTACTTTAGTGACCGTTTCATACTATTGCAATTTGACACAACATGCACAATACCACTTGTTTTGTGATGTGGTGATGTTCTTTTCTAATGGCACTCAACACATGTAGCAGCAAAATTAAATGCTCTATCTGTGTGTATGTGTATAAATATATCTATCTATTTATAAAAGTCTGTCGCAAGCCTTTTCAAATGAATGAGCCCCTAAGATTTCCTATGAAAAGGTAAACCACTTGGCTGTCCTAAATATCCTCTGCATTCAATAGATCCCGAATCCCACAGCAAGTAAGCAGATCAGGAATTCAGACTTTTTTTTTTGGCATACTTGTACTTGTTTGTCAGTGAAAGTGCTGGACTTGCAGACAGTTGGGAAAGAAATATTTTCAGTAGTAACTGCTTCCTTCTCTTGAGTCCTTATTGCTTTAATGCACACTGTATGTCTATACTTTGAAAATATTGCCTCAATTTCCTTGCCAAGGTTGTCTGCTTGGATAGTACATTGAGAACTAGCACCCCTTAGTATTACTGTTCAGGAGTGGAGACACTGTAAGGCTACGTTCACACTAGCGTTGTGTGCAGGCGGCAGAGAGGTGTTTGGGAAGCGTTTTTACCGCTTCCCAAATGCCTCTGCCAATTCTGCACATTACAGCACATGGTGCTGTTCTAACGGGAGCGTCGCGTCGCAGCAAAACGGACGCCTCTGATCGAGTCAGGAGGCATTGAAGCCTCCTATTCTTGTCTATGGTGCCGCTCCGCAAACGCCCGGCCGGCGTGTGCGGTTGCGGGGCATTTGCGGAGCGGTAACACCACTCAAACTGCATTATAGGCGTTTGTGGGGCGTTATTAACGCTCGGCAAACGCCTAGCTACAGCCACTAAACCACACATGCGGCGTTTGCCGAGCGGTAAACGCTCCGCAAACGCCAGACCAACGCTTGCCAAATGCTATAGGGGTGTTGGGCAAGCGTTGGTAAAACAGCCAAGTGTGAACGAGCCCTAAGAGTGTTTGCCCAGTCTGTATTAGTACACCTAGAGCTGATGCCTAGAAGAGCTCAATGAACTGGATATAGGTTTACACAACCAGAGCATAAAAACTTTAGGGACAGAGTTTAAAATGTACAAACCTTTTGTTGCAAATATGAGGACTCAGCCCGTTTTGGAACATTTAATTCACTGAATGCCAACGACATGCTTTGCATGAAGCTCTTTGCTGCCCCTGGCAGCGTTCTATGCTGTCTATGGAGAAATCCCAGCCCTGAATGAAGTAGTTGAAAGCTAAATGATTACAGCTTTAGTGTTGGTGGTGCCTACATGTTCACCTACAAAAGTATGCTCACCTAATACAATTTGGTTTGCTGTCTACTTATTTATTGCAACAGTAATGAAGTTAAAGTGAACCCTTGCATGAAAAAGTTATTCTTATCTTGCTCCCCCAACCTGTAACAATTGCAGTGGTGTGTGGTGGGTTTTTTTTTTTTTTGGGGGGGGGGGGAGGGGGGGCGAGTATCGTTTGGGTGGTACCTGATTCTACTGGCTCATTCCTCATCGTGGTGAGGATATTTCCTCAGCCTGCCAGCTGATTCCTGCTGAATCACCTGAAATTCAAACCATGGGAGGAGTTCTTCACCACCCAGCTCAACAAGTATACTCCATCCACCTTTTTAGTGTGGATAGGGAAACTTATTTTTGCTTGTTCAGCTGAAAGAAATCTAACTGACTGATTGCTGGCCATATATGGATCCCTTAATTGTGCAGCCAGCAGGCTCAATGATAAAGGAGTGGATTGCTCCATCTGCACGAGGTAGATATAGGAATTCTCCCTGCTGAGAGGAGACTCTCTCCCCTTTCAGAGTACATTGATCTGCAACTGCAGCTGTTGGTAGAGAAAAACTTCCTACAAGCCAGTTCAGCAGTGTCATGTCCATCTACCGATGGACATCTGTCAAGCAGGAGCAGCCACGTATGGATTGAAATTTGGACAGTCCTTGCTGAACCAGCCTAATTTCAGCTCGTCGTCGTTTTTAGCCAGCTTTACTAAAGTTGCACGAGGTATAAACAATTTCAGCTCCCCATATTTCTGAACAAGTTATAAAAAAGTAGTCTCTATGCTCACTGTGTAACAAGAGAGCATGATAACAAATCAGGCACGGTTTGATAGCCTGACCTCTGCATTATGAAACAGTACAGGACGAAATTTCCAGAGCCTTGTGGTAATGTTAAAACCAAGGGAAGAGAAAGCAAGCACCATCTGGGTGTAGTATTAAATCAATGTTTTAATAATCACAAAGTAACACATTCACAAAAGGAGATGTAAATAGGCCTATACCTCTGAGTAAGTGGCTGTCATCCGTCCTGGTTTGCCAGATGGACTGGGCTGTTCTGGAGGCTCCCAGAGCTTCCTGATTGACGTGGACTGCAGGGGGCGGGTGGAAGTGATGTCACAACTGAATGTGACCAGCAAAAATGGTGATGCGGAGCATGTACTCCTTTTTATGGGAGAATCTGACAGACCATAAGGGTCCCATATGGTGTAGGGGCTGACATCCACTCCTGGCTTTTGAAGACATTCTGCTGCCACACCATGCAATTTTTTTACGGATGCCCTACAAATGCTGGGGACTTCTATACAGTTTCCACAGGTACAGCAGCCCATTAACCTGAATAGACTGCTGTGTTTACTCAAACCCGCACAGAGATACAAATATGTGAACCTAGCCTAGCTGAACACATTAGGTCTCATGCACACTGAGCTTAAAAACTGCTTCAGTTACAGGTGTATGTATGTATATGTGTGTGTATATGTATATGTGTGTGTGTGTGTATATGTGTGTATATATATATATATATATATATATATATACATAATTTTTTTTTTTTTTTTTTTTCAGCCTGTAAAAGCACCTCCTGTTAGCCTATGTGTCCATGTACTGCATTAACGCTCCAATGCTTGACACACCTAAACGTGTCTCAATGCATATGTACTACATGGCTTTACTAATAGCATTTGGAGGAGCAATGCCAAATGCCCTCTGTGCATGAAACCTTAAATGTTTA